TTTCGTTTAAACACAATACTTGATAACAATTCGGCCAATCGACCGAACCAGAAACAAATTATGCTGTGCAATGAACACGACAATTGTTATTGTGCATGCTGCGAATCAGTTTAGTTATTGAAATTGATTGCCCAAGTACACAATGGATCCATCAGAAATAGAAAAAACCACTGTCCAAAAAGAAAAGAGACGACAAAGCGATCACGTATGTTTTTGGTTGTATTTTTAATCAGATATTTTTAATACAAAAATATGTTTCATTTTAGGAAACGCTCCATGCATTTTTTTTAGCCTAAATCGAAAGAACAAAAATCCAGTGCAAATGTTAAATCGACTGAACGTCAAGTTTCCCAACCGTCTGATTGTTCTGAAACGGAAGACGTAGGAGAAGGGAAAACTGATATGTCGTTTGACAAAGAGTTCAAAGAATGTAATTCTTCTTGAAATTCGCTTATTTATTGGCAATATGCTGTCATTATACTTGATTTTTCTTAATTCGCACTGTGTATAATCAAGTTTAGTTTTTTCTCTAACAATCGGAAATTAGGATCTTCTTAATTATATTTTAGGATGCTCTTAAGGTAATTTTGAACATTTTCGGATCTTCTTAAATTTTCTTATTTTAATCACTGGTAGAACCAACACACAGAAAAGAAATTTTTGACATTTCGTTAAACCCTATCGCAAACCAGGATAAACAATACATTTAATGGTGTTGACATACACAAATGCGATAGAATTTATCGCAAAAGTAGATGTCAGCACCATTAAATATATGGTTTATCCCGGTTTGCGATGACATTTAGAGGTTATGTTTTCTCTGTGAACATATATATGTACACAAACAAAGAAAAAAAAAATGAGAATCAAAAAGAAATAAAATCGGAATTCCATTCATGCATACGTATAAATTGATTTAATGTTAAATTACTCCATTGGCTCGTAATAAAAAGACAATATAATCCTTTGTACCAGAATAAGAAAAAGTATCATCATTAAATGATTTTTTACTAATAGTCATAGTCGATTTTTGTTAAGACAAAGGTATACCGCATCGCTGTCTTGATACACATGAGGCGTCGACAATCGGCAGTTGGTGTCGGTTCGAGGCGCGTATTTTTCGTGGAGTATGTCAGAATTTATGAATAAAAGTTGTTTATTTTATTTGTGTCCTTTTTCCAGAATATATTATGCCAAGTGACGATTTCGTAGATAATTCGAATTGCTAGGCAATCCTTCCAAGTGAGACTGAACAGGGTCCAGCAATCGTTATGAGCTGCATACAGTCACACAATACTGAACACATCGCAGATGATATATTGCGATTCGAGCCATCATTCTATCAAGACGAACCATTGGATTTAAGCGTTAGCTCCGCTTCTACAACCGCCTTGTCAGCGTTGGATTCTTAATTTCCATTCGTCCTAGTGATTCATTCTGTTGAATTTAAGTAACAACAGAAATTTTCGAAATTTCAAATCCTTCTAGAATGGATTCGATTTCGATAAGGCGTTGAAAGAAGGTGTAATTGCCCCGGGCAAGGGTGTTGACAACTGCACGCAATGAAATCGACATTATGATTAAATACAAAACCTCCTTTAAAATTTACAAATCGCCAATAAAAATGACAAAACGGCAA